AAGCTGAGATTGCTCCTGAGTGCGAAAAAGAGAGGTCCTGAGCGCCACTCACCAAGATAGGGACAAGAGCTGCACCTGAACGCGTCTCCCAAAAAGCAACTCCCGCAGCTGCTCGTAGCGCCTCGCGTATCCACATTGACCCTCTTGACCACTCTAGTCACACCATTCTCATCCGTCACAGTTTCCGTCGTCTCCATCCTCTGCCCTTTTCCATTCTGCACGTCTGCTGCTGCTGCTGCTGCTGCTGCATCTCCAGCAACGGGAATGGGCAGATCATTGTTTTCTTGCAGCTTGATCACCGCATCGTTTCGATTTCGAGCAGCATCCAACGCTTCTTGTTCTTCCATTTCTCTCAAACCGCAAGTGCACCCTTTGCAAGCTTTGCGTCTCTTCCCTCCCGCCAATGCAGATTCCAGATCACAATCTTCGCGCCGCACAGCTTTAGCGGGTATCCTATCCGCTTCCGAAAGCAATGTGCTTGGATCTATGCTATTGTCGAAAGGTTGCGTGGCCCACAATGCTGCTTTCTTGGCTCGCGATTCGGCACTGTCGTTCACCTTGGGCTTGTTGAGACGCGAACGAAGTGGCAGTGATGCGCTAACTCCATTCGCGGTGCCGTTGCTCGTGCTAGCGCTAGCTGCATTGTCTGCATTCGAGAGCGAAGAGGAAGTGGTAGCCGAGCCAGCTGCCGAGGTAGCAGCAGCAGCGCTTTGCTTGATGGCGGTGATATGATCAGCACCTTTGATGGTCACATCTTGCAGTCCCAAAGCGCTCAACTGCCTGGCGATGCTGATATCTACGCTTCCATCCGGATCTGTCCGGTTGAGTATGAGCTGACCTTTTGGTGCTAGTGTTGGAGCCAAGATGGCATAGAGGGTCTGGGTGAGCTGAACACCAGGAACGATAATGTGCACCAAGGAGTACGAAGAGGGCAAAAACGCTTGCTCTGAGTTTGGGTAGAAGGTGAAAGTTGTTTGAAGTTGTCAGCGAAGTGGAAGAAGCGAAATGTAAAAGCAGTGAGACGAGTTGAGAGACTCACGGCCATCGGTGATGCGATCGAGCATGTGCATCTCCACTTGTCTGCTGGACGAGCCATCAGACGCTTGACTGGCACTCTGAACGGCTGCTTGATAAGCACCAGACGCAGCCGCTTCCATGCTTCCCACCACCAATGCTGGCAAAGTGGCTGGCACAGCCATCTTGCATGCGAGTCTGATGTGAACGAGGTGCGCTGCGCGTCCGGTCCGAGATGTATGATGTGGTGTGGTGAAGATGGGAGTTGTGACAGGGGCGAGAGGATGATGAGCACGTGATGGAGCAAGGATGGGAGTACGATGGGTGAATGAGGATGAGTGGTTGGATGAGCAGCTGGAAATGAAAGACGAATGATGAAGAAAGAGCCAGAGGGCCCGGCTCGCATAGCCAGCCAGCCA